AACCCCAACAAAAAAAAAAAAAAAAGAAAGCAGGATTTACTGAGAGGACAGAAAAGCTCCCACAGTGGGAGGGAACCCAAAGGGGTTGCCCAGACACTAGTTTATTTTAAAATGTTTTTCTTCAATGGCAAATAAACCTTAGCATAGCATAACTTTTTTACTTTATAAAATTTTAATTTTTAAAAATTGTTTGACTTAACTTACAACACAAACACATTGCACAACTGCACAAAAATATTTCTTGCCTTATTCTATAAGCTTTTTCTTATTAAAAAAATTGTTTTTTCTTTTTAATTTTTAAGACTTTTTGTTAAAAACGAAGACACAGGCTGGGCACGCCTATAATCCCAGCACTTTGGGAGGCCCAGGTAAGAAGACTGCCTGAGCTCAAGGGTTTGAGGCCAGCCTGGGCAACATAGCGAGACCTCATCTCTACAATAAATCAAAAAATTAGCTGGGCATGATGGTACGTGACTGTAGTTCCAGCAACTTAAAAGGTTGAGGCAGAAAGATCACCTGAGGCCAGCAGGTTGAGGCTGCAGTGGCTGTGAGCGTGTCACTGCACTCCAGCCTGGGTAACAGAGTGAGACTCCAACTCAAAACAAAAACAAACAAAAACGAATACACAACACAATTAGCCTCGGCCTGCACAGGGTCAGGATGGTCAAGACAGGAATTTTGCACCTCCAAAATAATCTATGGGATCCACATCACACACATGGTCTGTCACAGGCAAAACATCACTATGCGGCACTTGACTATACTTAACAGTGTGACCGGCCACACTGTGGAGACGTCAGAGGTTATCTGACTACTGTAATCAAGCAAGCAAGAGGAGCATGTGTGGAAAGCAAATGGTGTGACAAGGAGTTTTCAAACACCGCAGCAGAAGCCCAAGTGCCATGTATTTCCCAACAAACAAAAACACAATTTTCCAGGTGCAAATGCTCAACACAGGAACATTAACAGATGCATTTCTGAAGAAAGAAATTGAGAAAGGGGTAGGCTGCAAGAGGGTCCTGTAAGTGGTGAATGTGTTTAGCCATGAACAGCCAGTGGCTACACGAGCATGATGACCTCAACCTGGTGGTGAGTAACAGACACAGGCAGGCCTGACGTGTTCCGTCAGCTGCACGGGACAAGGGTTAAGGCACCTGGCAGCCTTGCATTGTTCAGAGGGTAAAGACACTGGCTAACTCTAAACTCTAGCAGTAATCACAAAAGAATAAAAACAGAATGGACTTCTTTTTTTCTTTTTTGAGTTGGAGACTCACCCCATCACCTAGGCCGGAATGCAGTGGCATGCTCACAGCCACCGCAGCCTCGACCTGCTGGGCTCCATGATCCTTCCGCCTCAAGAGTTCCAAGTAGATGGAACTACAGGTACGCACTACCATACCCGGCTAATTTTTGATTTATTGTAGAGACGAGGTCTCGCCAAGTTGTCCGGGCTGGTCTCGAACCCGCGGGCTCAGGCAATCCAGTCACCTCAGCCTCCCAAAGTGTTGGGATTACACATCTGAGCATCTGAGCATCTGAGCCTGGCCCAGAATGGACAACTTGCAAATGTACAGAGGGAGGAGAGAAATAAAGAAGACCTGATGCAGAAAAGAAGAGAAAAGGAGGAGTAGAAACAGAAATAAATAGAAAACAAAGCAAAATAAGATGGAAAACAAAGCAAAATAAGATGGAAAAAATACATGCAAATATCAGTAAACAAAATGAATGAAAACTAATTCAATCCAATGGTTAAAAGATTATCAGGTTGGATTAAAAAAATCCAGTTTATGCTGGTTCTGAGACTTTCCCATAAGAACAAATATAGGGTGAATCTATGAGTAGAGAGAAAAATAGGACAGGAAAATATTAACCAAAGAGAAGCTGGCAGCGAAAACAATATCAGACAAAATAGAGATGGGGAAGAATAATAGGGATAAAGAGAATCTCTATAAAATGATAACTGGAAAAAATTCCCCAGAATATTCTATAATATTCTGTGCACTTAATAACATGGCCTCAGGATATTTAAAGACAAACAGAATTGAGAAGCTGGGTCTGTAATTGACATATTCAGAGCACAGAGCTCTGGACCCAACAAGAGAAAAGTCACTGTTCCAAGCACACAGGAAACATACACAAAAATTGGTCTGTCCCAGGTCACAAAGCAAGTCTCCACCAACATTAAGGAATCGAAATCATACAGTCCACAAGCTCTGACCACAAACACAATACGGTAGAAATCAGCAACAAAAGGTAAGTAGAAAAGACAAGAATGGCAGGCAGGGCCTGGGGGCAGTAGGTGGGTCTGAGGTGATGATCATATAGCAGCTACCACAGAGGGTTGTTATGAATACTAAATGGGCTTAGAAGAGTGCCAGACTTACAGTAAACATTCAGTAAACACTAGCTGCTTGGTATTTCTTACCTGTCTAAAGAATCAGTTATGATTCCCAGGTAAGAGTTGGCTAAAAGAATCAAGATGGAACGAGAAAAGGGGGCAGGCACAGTCTGCCTTACAGCTAAAAATGTAGATATAGTTACACTCACTAAATGTTCACCTCAAAGGCTGCATTTCTCTGTCTCAAGTGACTCTGACAACCACAGACACCAGAGTGTCTCTGTGAGACTGCTACTGCGGTATACAGCATATACCCACTCCCTGGTCATCTCGTTGAAAGCAGGGGTTCTCAACCAAGACACCCCTTACATTTGGGTCCGGGTGATTCTTTGTCACAGGGGTCTGTGTGCACTGCAGCAAGTTTAGCAGTGTCCCTGACCTCTAGTCACTAGATACCAGGAACCTACTACCCCCCTCCCCAAGATGAGACAAGCAAAAAAAGTCTCCAGATCCAGCCAAATGTCCCCTGAGGGAAAACCACCCAGTTAAGAATCACTTCAAGCCAGCTCCGTGGCTCAGCCTGTAATCCCGCGCCTTTGGAAGGTAAGGTGAGTGGATTGCCTGAGCCCGCGGGTTTGAGACCCGCCTGGGCAACTTGGCGAGACCTCATCTCTACAATAAATAAAAAATTATCTGGGCATGGTAGCACATGCCTGTAGTTCCAGCTACTCGGAAGGCTGAGGCAGAAGGATCGCCAGAGCCCAGCAGGTCGAGGCTGCGGTGGTCGGGAGTGGCCACTGCACTCCAGTCTGGGTGACAGTGAGACTCCAACTCAAAAAATAAAAATCAAAATAAATAAAAATCAAAAAAAGAATCATTTCAAAACGTAAACTTTTCCAAGGGGATGCAAATCAGACCCCTGGTACCAAGAACTCCAGGGGCCTCAATAAAACTGCCTGAGGAAGGGATCCAGTGAGGAGAATGGATAGATTATGCAGGGCTCCACACAGCCCCACCTCACGCCACAGACAGTTCATGCGGACAGGCTGGAAGGCAGAGCACACAGAGGACATTTCAGTCTTGATGAAAAGAAGCTACACGGATATCTGAGTGTGTTCTTTAAACACTCTGCCTCCAGAAACCAAACGCTGTAACATTTGTAATGGGCAGAGCGATTACACGGAGCTTTGGCCTTGAAATCGCCAAGCTTTCAGTCTCCGTTAATATTCTCAAGGGGCAGGGCTGGCCCTCTTCCATCTTCAAGATGATTCAGGTTTCCTGGAGAACAAAATGAGCCTCTAATGCCCAATATTTTCTCTCTGACAGATGGTTTCAGATGTATCAAAGTGCTAATCCTTGCTGAGGTATAGGTCTCAAGGAAGGAGAGTTTGGCTTTTAGAATGATAGGACTTGAATGATTAAGGAGGAAAATTACTCCCAGGATATTCACCATTACCATGTGAGCAACTGGTCTAAATGAAGGAAACCAGCAGAATCTGAAACACGATTTGAGGGAAGAGAGGGAAAACCCAAAAACCGAAGTTAACAGTTCGGGTTTGAAATATTTCCGCTCAAAGACATCTTTGGGAGTGGAAGTGAACAGCAGTAAAAACAACTTTCAGCTCAGGGTAACCAGGGTTCCATCTGCCTCCCACCAACATTCCCGGGAGGGTCTGGAGACAGAGGCCTGGGGCCGAAGCTCTGCCTTGCCACTTACTAGCTGTGTGACCTTGGGCATGTTATAAAAACCTCTCTGAGCCTCAGTTTCCTCATCTGTAAAACGGGTGTATGTTTTACACGCGTCTCAAGGTGAGGCTGTGCAAATTCAATGACCCAAGGTATGCCTAACCTGACCCATCCCAAGCGTTCAGCGAATGTTAACTGTAAGTACGAATTAGTATTCCGTGTGGATTTATTGTGTGCAGACCTGCTTTCACATACATTACCACCTCTGAGGCTCACAGGAGGTTTGGCAGTTTTATTACAGATAGTGTAGAAATGGATATATATATATATATTATAATACATAATATATATTATAGATATAATATATATATATTATGTGTGTGTGTATATATATATATATATACTTTTTTTTTTCAATTGGGATCAAGTCTCTGACGCTCAGGCTGGAGTGCAGTGGCAAGGTCACGACCACCGCAGCCTCAACCTGCTGGGCTCAGGCGATCCTTCCAAACAGCTGGAAATACAAGCGTGCGCCACCACGCCCCGCTAATTTTTTGCTTTCTTGTAGAGATGAGGGCTCGCCAAGTTGCCCAGGTTGGCCTCGAACCCGTGGGCTCGGCAATCCTCTCACCTCGGCCTCCCGGCGTGCTGGGATGACAGGTGTGAGCCGCCACGGCTGACCTTGGCACGGACATTTATGGATAAGGATGCTGAGGGTCCGAGAGGCTGTCACTTGCCTACGGTCATTGAGCCGCACATGGGAGGACTCGAACCCAGCTCTTCCTGACCCCCGAGTCAAGTTCTTTCCACTGCACTACGATAATGGGGGAGGGGTAACTACTGGGGCCAGGACACCGCGCAGGGTCAGAGGTCACTCACGGTACTCCTCCAACCTCATGAGGGGCCGGAAGTAGATGGGGTAGAAGGCGGCGCCGACCAGGGAGACGAAGCCGCCAAAAATGAGCGCGGTTCGCAGGTTCCGGGACATGGCGCCCGGCCGAGGGCCGCCAGACCAGCCGTGGGGACCGCACTCTCCGAAACCGCGCTCGGGACTCGCGGGCCGTGACCCCGCTCGGAAGAGGCGGAGCGGCGTTCGCTTCCGGGCCTTGGGGGTGGGACGAGGAGGCGGGACAAGGGGCCGGGGTGGAGTCAGACGCGAGGCCGAGGGGGCTGGGAGCAGGGAGGTGGGGGCGGGGCTAGGGGATGGGTGGAGAAAGGCGGGACCGAGTGGAGCCGGGAAGGGGCGGGGCCTAGGACTGGGGGCGGGGTTAGGGCCGGGGATCCGCGGCCGTGTGCTTGCTGCTCGCCGTCTCGGCCCGCCGTGGGTGGTGGTGGATTGAGAATGGAGCATCGGCTGGACTCGGTTCCCGCGAGCCCTGTTCTGCCTCTTTTCCCTCCTCTCGGCTTGGTTTCTCCCTCAGCAGTTCCACTCACCACCCTCCAGATCTCCTTGACCACCCCCCCTTTACCAACCCACACTTTCTCGTCCTTCCCCCATTGAGTCCCTCTTTAGTGGCTGTCTACAGGAGTTGGAATCTATGACTCGCTCGTTTGATCCTTGTGTGAGTGGACCATTTTCCAGGAGATGGAATCACGGCTCCGCTTTGGACAAGTCGCTCCACCTCCTCCAGGCGTTGTTTTTTTAATTTAATTTTATTTATTTTAAAGATGTGGGGTGCAGTTCAGAATTAGGTATACAAGTGGTCATTGTACAGGTCAAGTTTGGACCTCCCTTTGGTCCCCACTTCGCCTGGTTTGAGATCAGGTACCCTTATTAATGTTATGTGTCTCCCCCCTCCCCTGGCAGTTTCCCGCTACTGCCAATCCCTTTCTTATAGTATGATAAATGTTCAGGGTCCGCTTATGAGTTAAAACATGTGGTACTCAGTTCTTTGTTTCTGTGATAGATCACTGAGTATTATAGATTCTAAATCCATCCAAGTGCTGCGAAGTCCATAATTTTGTCCTGTATGGCTGCATAATACTCCGTCGTGTCTATGTATCACTTTTTAAAAAAATTTAGTCCATTTTTGATGGGCAGCACAGTTGGTTTCATGTTTTTGCTATTGTGAATAGTGCTGCAATAAACATATGTCCAGATATCTTTTTTATAGAATGATTTTAGTTCCTCTAGTATATTCCCAGAAGAGGAATTAATTGTTGGGTCATGTAGAAGGTCGATTTTCAGATTTTTTTAGGACTTGCCACACTGTTTCCCACAGAGGTTGTACTAGTTTACACTCCCACCAACAGTGTAGAAGCATTCCCTTTTTCCCACATCCTCTCCAGCATCTGCTGTTTTTTGAGTTATTGATGATGGCCTTCCTGACAGGAGTTAGGTGGTATCTCAGTGTGGTTTTAATTTGCATTTCTTTGATGATTAGTGAGGCTGAGCATTTTTTCCTGTTTCTTTTGGCTGCAGTTTGTGTGGATGGGAGACAAAGTGGTAAATTGCCTGGTGAAGGAAGACCAGCAGGGCCATTCTGAAACTGGAACCCCAGAACCTCCTGAACCAAGACTAGCTTGGAAGAATGCTGTTTCCGCATTCAAACTACAAGTGTGTCTTTTCTGACTCTGTTCTTTCATCCCTTCCTCTCCTTTTCCCTGTGCTGGGATGTCAGGGTTATGGATGATTAGGCAGGGATCAGGGCAGGGCAGAGGGCCACAGGCCAGTCCCACCA